AGGGCTTTGGTTTTACTTCACCTTTTATTTTCAGGAGATTTGTTATTGGTAGCGCAATTTTTGTGAATGAGGGGATGAACTGTCTATAGAAGTTAGCAAATCCCAAGGAACTCTGTAGTTGTTTGCAGGTGTGTGGCGCGGCCCATTCCAATACAGCCCAGACTTTTCCAGGATCCATCTCTATTCCTTCATGCAATATCCAAGATAGTCAATTTTGCTTTGGTGGAATTTGCACTTGGAGAGCTTGGCATACAGTTCAACAGCCCTGAGTTTTTTCAGGACAGTCTGTACCAATTTCACATGGTCGTTCATGTTCTCAGAATAGATAAGAATGTCATCCAAATAGACCAACACCCCCTTATACAGGTGCTCATGCAGTATTTCGTTGATCAATTGCATGAACACAGCAGGGGCTCCTTGTAGTCCAAAAGGGAGCACTCGAAACTGGAAACATCCCAGTGGGCAGTTAAATGCTGTTTTCCATTCATCCTCTTCTTTAATTCGCACTCTGTAGTATGCCTCTTGTAAGTCGAGTTTGGTGAAAATCTTCCCCTTTCCTAGTTGGGCTTGCATGTCCTTCATGAGCAGTAGGGGGTAGCCATTTTCCACGCAAATGGCGTTCAGGTTCCTATAATCAACTACCAGATGAAAGGAGTCATCTCTCTTTTCCCGGAACAGTACCGGCGCCGCCACCCTTGGTCTGGCTGGTTGGATAAAACCCCGTTCTAGGTTTTTGTCAATGAACTTTCATAACTCCCCCAGTTCTCGAGGGGTCATAGGGTAGATCTTTGGCTTAGGGAGCTTTACCCCAGGGAGTATTTCAATGGTACAGTCCATAGCTCTGTGGGGGGGCAGCACATCTGAGGCCCTTTCACTAAAAACTTCTCGGAGATCCCAATACTCCTTTGGAATCTTCTCCTCCCCTTCAATATGACCTATTGCAATCTCCGCCCCTTCGTGTTCTACTCCGTCCTCAAGGGGGGGTTCTTCCCTTTCTAGTCTCAGGTTTCTGGTGTGGATGCGCAAAACCCCCGTTTTCCAGTTAACACACGGGTTCCATCTATGGAGCCAGGGCAGTCCAAGTATGAGGGGTCATTCCATGCCAGGAGCCACAATTGCATTTCATTGGGTTCAGTCTCAAAACTGGCTGGGCCCCTCCTGCTATCGATCCGTCCAGCTGACAGAACACAATGGGCCTTCTTAAGTTTTTTAGCCTCAGGCCCATTTTCTCCACCACTTTCGGGCTGATTATGCACCTGGTGCACCCAGAGTCTAATAGGGCTAGCATCTGTGCGTGTGCCCCTGTGGACGGCACCCTTATTTCTACAGGAACAAGCATGGGGCCCTCGGTGTGACTCACCAGATCATCAGAGTCAGAGTCGGAGTCCGTCTCGCTGTCATCCGTGGTGGTTGGAGTTCCCAACTCACCCTGGTTTCGGGGAGCGAACTCAACGACTTCCCCTTTCAGAGCGGTTTCACGGGCTTTTGTGGGCACTTTGTCAGCCTTCTTTGGCCCCAAGCCGGTAGATTTTGGCACTGGCTTGGAGAAACACTCAGCAGCCCGATGACCTTCCTTTCCACACTTGAAGCACATGAAGGGCTTTGACTTGGGTTTGAATTCCGCTCTCCCCCCAGCCGTCTTGGGCGCTACTTTGCGGTAATAGGAGGATAAAGGGTCTCCTGTATGGCCCCCTCGGAGTTGGCTTCGGGCCAGATCGATCTCCACGTCCTCAGCTACTATGTACCAACTCTGCAAATCTCCGGGGACCCCCCGTGCTCTACAGTCTTTGTAGACGTCTTCATTCAGTCCAAGCTCTCCAGTAGGGCCGCTTCGGACCACCCTGTCAGGTACCAACTCGCGGAACTCTTGGGTGTATTCTGCCACCAATCTCCGGCCCTGCTGGATACCCTTCATTCAGAGTCTCGCCTTCCGCTCAGCTAGGTGGTCTTCAAACCGCCTCCTAAGGGCCCCCATGAATAGGTTATAGTTTCTCAGCAAGGGGGAGTTGTTATTATGGAGGACAACCATCCATTCAGCTGCCACTCCCTCTAGGGCATTCGTGACGCATCTCACTCGTGCCGCATCTGACAGGTAGTCCTCCCCCCAGTCCTGCATGGTTCCACACTTGGGTCAGGAAAAGCCCCAAGGTCTTCAGATTCCCTCCATACTTTTCGGTTGGGGGGGGGGGAATTTTTGGCTTTTTGCGTCTCCGGGGTGGGGCCTGCAAGGCTGAGGGTCCCTGGGCTGCTGCATCCCTCGCTTGGATCCCAGAAGCCTGAGATGTTCCTTCTCCAGCTTCCTCTTCCTCTCCCCCACAAGTAGTCTCTTCTGGATCCACTCTGGGGTAATCTCCTCCCTTCCCACCAGGGAATACATAAGACTCACGGTTTTTCCGGCTTTCTTTGGCATCGTGGAGGAGTTGCATAGCCTGAGCAATCATGAGGCTTTCCTTTTGCTCTTGCAGCCACACTGCCTCTCCCTTACGAGGTCTGGAGCTGGTTACTCCTTGGGGGTCCTCGCCAGGTCCAGCAGCCTTCCTACTCCCCTCGACTATCTGGCTTCCTCTGGCTCCTCTCTCAGCCGAATTTTTTCCATCCACTCCGCAGCTTCCTTTTCTGCCTGAAGTGAAGTTATCGTAGAGCCAGAAGCCCCCATCTGATCTCCATCACTCTCTTGATCAGACATATTTTGGGTTCAGCCTCCTCGGTAGTTATCCGGGATGGCTGGAGAAAAGAGATCCTGCTTAATGTCAGGTATGCTTCCTTCAAAGTCCAAGAAAGAATGACTCAAACTCCATTGTTTATAGAAGCAGGTACTTTTATTGGAAAATGAAGTGATCGCAACCAAAGAAAAGCAGGATCTAAGGCAAAAGTGCGAAAACTACAGATAGAAAGCATTCCCTCCCACTGTCCATCGTAAATCATCCAATCCAAGGGTCTCCCAGAGGTTAGGTGGGAGCACACGTCTGGCAGTGTCATCAATCAGGAATGCCACAACCGTTGACCTGATAGCAGCCTCAAAGATGCAGCCCAGTAGCTTAACTACCACTTTCGTTTCTCGGTCTCTCCAGCATGCTTCCCCTCTTCCCCTCCCCCCATTACCATGGCAGCCAAAGCAGTAAAGGCGGAGGGTGACAGGCGAATATTTTCTTTTGAGAGCAAACATCTGAATTTCATTTTTAATGTGTGCTAGTATGTACACAGAAAAAATTACAATAAAGGTCATCTTGTCTTAATGACTCCACAAAAAAGGTGCCAGGCTTTGAATTATCATGTTAGAAATGGACAATCTTGAATAGGATTCACAAACGGTGTCTGCTGGGACTCTCTATATAAATGGGGCATAGTATCCTCCCCTCAGCGTGACTATGGGGTTTCATATCAAACTGTAGATCACATCATTACTGGCTGTAGGGGAGTGCATATACTGATCCAGTATCTGGTTTTTTTTAATATAAGCAACCCTCAGGCTGCAGCCTGTTCGGAACTGGGCTGCATGAGCGGCTGGCAAGCATGCACACACTTGCACAAGTGGTGGGTTCTCTTGGAAGCTCCACTTCCACAAATGGCGAGCATTTGCGCTTGCACTCCAAGCTCCATTTGTGCAAGTGGTGCATACTTACCTGCACTTGCACACACCCCTACCTGTCACAGAGAACCATTTCCTCTCCCCACAGGCCGCCAAGATGGAAAGGTTGGGGACTGCTGTTTTATTGTGTTTACTAATCTAGGTAAATGTTAACATATATATATATTGCTAGTCCATGTATGATGCACCACATGCTAAATAAATACATTTAACAGGAGAAAACATTCCTGGATGGACATTCTTTGTGAGAGCAGAGTGATGCTTCTTCTTGGGTGAAAAAAATTCCTTTAGAGAAACCACTTTGAAAATAATTTCCTTTACTAATTAGCACTATTCATAGCCTGATAATAATCCAATTGTCCTGCCAAACTTCCTTTAGCTCTTAACCCATTGCGTTACATCTAGATGTGTTATTTATCACATTGATTTTCTGTTATTTAGCATTTTAGACTTACCGTGTTTCCCCAGAAATACAACCTACCCCAAAAACAAGCCCTAGCCCGATTTTCACGCCTGTGCCTAAAATAAGCCCTACCCAAAAAAATGAGCCCTAGTTAAGCCCCGCCCACTGTCTGTACAAGTTGGGGTGAGGCGCAGGTGTAAAAATCAAGCTAGAACGGGGGTGGAGGCATGGCTTCCCCATACACCCTGCACCCACTTACCTAAGGACCGCTGCAGCCAGGCCTCCCACACCCCGACACCTGTTGTGCTGCTGCCTGACGTCTTACAGTATAGCCTTTATTGTCATTGTATATCATGTATGCAACGAAATTGCAGCCACTTGCGGCCACTCGCAGCCAGATGCCACATGGTGCATCGCATTGGTGTCGCTGTTCATGGCAGAATGCCACATGGCTTGTCATGCTGGTGCCGCCGCTCATAGGTGCCAAGGCACAACACGCCATGCAGCCTCCTGTTGGGAGCAGCAGCACTGGCATGACGAGCCTTGTGTCATCCGGCTGCAAGTGGCCACAAGCGGCTGCAGAAGAAGTCAGGCAGCAGTGCGACAGGTGTCAGGGCGTGGGCGGTATGGCTGCAATGATTGCAAGGCAATGGGGGGGGTGGAGGACAAAATGAGGCGGGGTGTGGAGCTTCCCCATGCCTCCCTCTACCTCCTGCTGCAGTCGGCCTCCACGCGGTCGCTGCCTCCTGTGCATGCATGGGGAGGTGGGGCTCCCGGCCAGGCCCGACCTTGTGATGAAAAAAAATAAGACATACCCAAAAATAAGACCGATTGCTGATTTTGGGACCCAAAAGAAAATAAGACCGGGTCATATTTTCAGGGAAATATGGTAGCATTTAGATAACATGCTTCATACATAATGAGGGTATTGTAATCCTTAGCAAAGTGAAGAGCAAAAACTATGAGAACAAACTCCATCTGATGCGAGTCTCTTAAATATATACTTACTATTAAGATCAGAAAGTGCTTTCTTCATGGTAGTGTTATACTGATTCACCAAATAGTCGATTTGCTAAAAAGAAAGCAACAAACATAGGATTAACAACATACCCACATATACCAAGGCAGTAATATTCACATAACTTTAAGCACTGTTGTCATTTCTGGAAGTCACCTGGCAGCATCACAAAAGCTCTTTAATTCTAGCTTTATGAGGTAGATGACACTTCAATACCCAGTCTACTTCACTGCCTAATTGGGAATTTTTCTTCTAATCATGATGACTATCTAAATTCTTAATATTAACTGCTGATGAACTTGAGTGAAAGTTTGTGATTACACTCTTGTGTTTTCTATGGGCATCTGAGGGAAATGTATGACCAGACAGATCTTCTATTGCGAGCCATATGCCCCTCAAAAGTTTAGACATCCATTTTTATTATGGAAAGATTACTGGAAGAGTGTTAAAAACAAAAATGCTGTGCAATATTGCAACTAATGGTGCACACTACAATCAACACAATCAATTGTTAAGTGTGAATTCAGTTTTAAGTGGCATGCTTTTAATAATATTAAATAATGATATTAAATAATACTACAGTGCAAATGTAAAATTGAATCCAGTCATGGAATCATTGCATGCCTACTTTCCTAACACCACATGAAGCCACCCAAAGGAAAATGGTACATTACCCCAGGAGTTCCATTCAGGAACATCCGAAGGTCTCTGAAATTATTGTTCATGAGTCCCCTGGCTCCTCGGACTTGGCTTGTGAGATGCTGGTTAGCCGCATAGGCAAAAAACACCCCAATACTAGGTAGCAAGAAAGAATACAAAAGAATTATTCTTACTTTTGTAGAAATAAATAATATTGTTAGATATCTGACTCCAAAGCACAGTAAAATTATCAAGGAACTATTTTCTGATATTGAAGTGGCCATATATGATGCTGTCCATTAACGTTTGTATTAGAGAACCAATTTTGTTTATGTAATACAGGTAGTCCTCAACATGTTTACAACTGAGCCCAAAACTTCTGTTGCTGAGTGAGATAGTTAAGTGAATTTTGCAAACTTTTTTGCCACAGTTAAGTGAATAGTTGCACTTGTTAAGTTACTAACAGGGTTGTTAAGTGAATCTGACTTTCCCATTGACTTTGTTTGTCAGAAAGTCGCAAAAGGTGATCACAAGACCCTGGGACACTGCAACTGTCATAAATAGAAACTAGTTTTTAATCATCTGAATTTTAATCATGTGACCATGAGGATGCTACAATGGCTGGTCATAAGTCAACAGTCATACTTTTTCAGTGTTGTTGTAACTTCAAATGGACACTAAATGAATGGTTGTAAATTCAGAGTTACCTATAATGATTTAGTCTTATGGTAACACTAAAGAATGGTTTTAAGTCAGGGGTGAAATGCTTCCGGTTCAGACTGGTTAGTCCGATCTGGTAGCGACGGAGGCGGGTGGTTCGGAGAACCGGTAGCAAAAATCCCTGCCCTCTGAGCCGCGCAATCATCAGAAGCTTTTTTTTTTTAAGTATTTTTTCAACAACCTCTTCAGCCGAAAAATGCTTTTAAAAGTAAAAAAAAAAAAAAGCGCGGCTCAGCTGGGATCATCAGAGGCTTTTAAAAGCATTTTTTCTACAACCTCTTCAGCCAAAGAGGTTGTAGAAAAAATGCTTTTAAAAGCCTCTGACAATCCCAGCTGAGTTGCCTGATCGGCAGAGGCTTTTAAAAGAAAAAAAGCAGGGGAGAAATGTAAAATTTGTTACTACCAGTTCTGTGGGCGTGGCTTGGTGGTGGGGGTAATGTGACTGGGTAGGCGTGGCCAACTTTTTTTTTTTATTTTAACCTTTCAAAGCATTTTTTTCTGCAAATGCAAAAAAATGCTTTGAAAAGCTTCTGCAGATCAGGAACAAAGCTGGGATCGTCAGAACCTTTTCAAAGCATTTTTTAACCACCTCTTCTGCTGAAGAGGTTGCAGAAAAAAATGCTTTGAAAAGTCTCTCTGACGATCCCAGCTGTGTTGCCTGATCATCAGAGCCTTTTCAAAGCATTTTTTTAACCACCTCTTCCCCGGAAGAGGTTGCAGAAAAAAATGCTTTGGAAAGCCTCTGAGATCCCAGCTGAGCCACGCGATCATTAGATCGCGCAGCTCAGCTGGGCATGGTTGGGGGGGGGCAGGGATTTTTGCTACCAGTTCTCCGAACCACCCGCCGCCATCACTACCGGATCTGGCGATCTGGTCCGAACCGGGAGCATTTCACCCCTGAAAAAAAGCCTCTACTGATCAGGCAACTCAGCTGGGATGTCAGAGGCTTTTAAAAGAAAAAAAGAAAAAAAGCCTCCGTTGATCAGGCAACTCAGCTGGGATCATCAGAGGCTTTTAAAAGCAATTTTTTACAACCTCTTCAGCCGAAGAGGTTGTAGAAAAAATGGTTTTAAAAGTAAAAAAAAAAAAAGTTGGCCACGCCCACCCAGCCACATTACCTCCCCCCAAGAAACACGCCCACAGAACCGGTAGTAACAAATTTTAAATTTCACCACTGTTTTAAATTCATGTCTTTGGGCAGGGTCCAACTAATCTGTTGAGCTTAATAAGGGAAGTGAGAATTTAAGGAGATTCTGAAAGCTACTGTTCGTAGACTTAGTCAACAAAAATTAACAATATTCAATACATCTGAGTTGTTTCGTATTATTAATTCAGCATCCACAATCTGCTTTCATGTATTCCTGGAGGAAAAGACTTCACAAGTTTTACATATAAACAGTTGTGATTTAAAATGAAAATTGGTAGATAATACCTATGATGTTCCTAGCAAATAGATATTTTAGGGACATAAAAGCAGAATGCAAATGGTAAACATAAAAAGAACAGAATGGAATGGAATCATCTTAATAAGGAAACACCCAGGATTCAAGATCTTCAAAGATGCAGATGGAGCTGCCTGAATTGGAGAATGTCTTTAAAACTGCTCAGGATGAGGAAGAATGGAGAAGATCCATCAAGAGGCCCCCTTAGCCACTTTGTCACCACTGAATTTTGCCCTTTTCTCAAGAGGCAATAACACTCAGGGGAAGGATAAGAGAGGGACATCTTCACTGGGATGCAGTATAGTTTGGTTGCCTGAGTTTTTTTAATTTAATTTACCCATTTTATTAAATTTATTATGACCACCTACTTCAAAAGACTCTGGGCTTTGAAATATGACTGGGTAGGATTCTTGGGAGTCTTTTTTTTGTTTTGTTTTTTTTTAATTTGATTTATATGCCGCCCTTCTCCGGAGACTCGGGGCGGCTTACAATGCGTTAAGCAATAGCCTTCATACTTTTGTATATTTATACAAAGTCAGCTTATTGCCCCCACAAACTGGGTCCTCATTTAACCTACCTTAGAAAGGATGGAAGGCTGAGTCAACCTTGAGCCTGGTAAGATTCGAACCTGCAGAAATTGCAGGCAGCTGTGTTAATTACAGGATGCATTAAACCACTGTACTACCAAGGCTCTTTTTGAGTTTGAGAAGTTCTGACTGTATGATTCCTTATCAACTAGGCAGCTCTTTGGGAACTAAAATGTCTTGCTTAGGAAGGATTCTCATCTTTTCCCAGATTCCCTCTTTAGCCTAGATGACTTAGATTTGTCACACCAGATACATGGAGTCTCCATGTTCAGAAGCCTGGTAACTTTAAATATGACTTACTGGAAGAGAAGGTGTAAGTCATAATTGCAGCATAATGTTTTGTTTCCCTGTCATACAACTATGTAAAACAAGATGATGGGATAATTATACCCTGATATGTGACACTGGGGACATTTATATGAAATGCTTCCGAATAGTATTCCAGCACTTGATATAGCTAGAAAAACAGCATTATTTCTGATTCTGATTTTCAGGACTGCATTTTAATTATTTGATGTATAAGAGAGGGACAGCATCAAGATCACGAGAAGTAATAAGAAAAAGGATTGGTAGCTGTCTCCTGGTACTTGAGGGACTGACAGGTCCTTGGTGCTCTCTGAGCTTGCCTCTTACTGCTAATTGATGTTTGTGGATGCATTCTGACATTCTTCTGCCTGTTTGTCCTACATAGTGGTTGTTGTATGTTGTAATGACTCCTGTTTTTTTCTTCTGGGATCGTTGGGTCTTTTGGTCTGCTTAGGATGTTTTGAAGGACTTTAGTTGCCTTGTGTGCTATGCTGATTCATGTGTTTGTGTTGATTGTGCTGTATTGGATTGAGTGGTCGGGGACTTTTTGATAAAGTTGTGTGGATATCCATTTTGTTGGAATATGTTCCTTTTTTTGCTGTTCCGCTATATAGGACAAACAGGCAGAAGACTGACAGAACACATCCATTAACATCAATTAGCAGTCAGAAGACATGATGAAAATTCTTGAATTTCACAAGATATAAACAGATATAACCAGTTTCAATTGGGAAAATGTGACCATTCTAGACCAAGCCAAGTCCAAAACTGCCAGGGAATTTCTAGAAGCCTGCCACTCTTGACAAATCAGCTATCAATAGACACATAGACATTAACACAGTGGTGAAATTCAAAAATTTTCCCTACCGGTTCTATGGGCGTGGCTTGGTGGTCATGTGACTGGTTAGGCGTGGCTTCGTGGTCATGTGACCAGGAAAACCAACTATCACACTTTACCCAAAAATAACACAAAAGCTACACAACTCACTCACACACAATGCAAAAGCAGCTGGACTTCACACAAAATGGCCCCTGCCACAAGCAGGAACCTCACAGAGTCACAGAGAGCTCAAAAACAAACTATCACACTTCACACAAAAATACCGGTTCGGGCAATAGGTAATAAAAAAATGCTTTAAAAAGTAGGAGAGAGGAGGAAAATATTCTTTGTCAAGATCATGGATACTAGCTGCCATTTAAGAGAAGTAGAATATAGATTTGATGTAATGGGTCTTAGGAATGAGGAATATATATGAAATATTGGTTAAAATGACAAAGATTTGGAATGGTGTCTATTTGGAAATAATTGTTTAGAATTTTGGGTGATATAGTAGAATGATAAATGTTTAGAATAAGATTTTTCTTCTTTCTTTTTTTTAAAGATGTAAATGGATAAAATTTAGAACAAAATTGGTTGAGGGAATGTGAGTAATTGTACCTATTTTATACCGGATCAAATCCTTGCTCTAAAAAGATGTATTTTATGTTGCATGTCTAAAAAAATAAAAAAAAAGAAAAAAAGAAAAAAGAATGCTTTAAAAAGTAAAAAAAAGTTGCGACGATCGTGCGGCACACTGATTGTCACAGCTGATTGTCGGAACCTTTTAAAAAACTTTTTAAAGCATTTTTTTTACTACCTATTGGCCCAAACCAGTAGTAAAAAAATGCTAAAAAAAAGTAAAAGAAAAGTTCAGACGATCAACTTTTTTTTTTACTTTTTAAAGCATTTTTTTACTACCAGTTCAGGGAAACCAGTAGCATTTTCACTACCAGTTCGGGCAAACTGCCCCAAACTGGTAGCATTTCACCCCTGCAGTGAAGACTGTGCCAGAGGTTCTCAAACTACGGCCCACCAAAGCAATTTATCTGGCCCGTGCGTTATTCAGAGCCTCCTTGCCTTCTCGCTTAACTGAGGCTGCTCGTTCAAAACTAAACTAAAGCACAGTGTGTGTAAAACTCGCCTTAAATCAGGGTGGATAAAAATCAATGATTTTTTTTAAAAAATCAAAAAATCAGATTTTTTTTATTTAAATCAGATTTTTTTTATTTAAATCGGATTTTTTTATTTAAATCGGATTTTTTTAAATAAAATGCTTTTTGA